GCCCGTGTGCAGCGTTGCCTTTGCCTAGGCGGTGCCCAATTTCTGCTGATGGGGCGGAGTTCTTGCGAATACGGTGGAACGAGGGGGTTGACAACTTCTAGAGTTCTAGAGCACTTGGGTGGCAGGTGCGGGTCTTATTGAGGAGTCTGTCAGGCGAGGCGCCGACGAACCGAAGAAGCGAGAAAACAGCAGCCTGTTCTGGGGTGGCACAGGACTGTGGTTTTCGCTCTGTGCATCCCTGGCATCCCTGCGCTGTGTGGAGGGCCTCAGCCTCAACAGTCGTGGATGAAAGGCTTGAGGGGCCTGTGTGCGGCCGTCGAAGTTGTGTTTTCACAAGTTTCCTGGTCCTGGATGGGCTTTCAGATGGGGAGGAACCAGGGGATGAACCAGGTGAAGCTATCAACCAACGTGCGTCCGTGTGTCCGCGCATCCGCGCATGATCGTGCTTGCGTCATCGTAGTTGAGCCGTTGCTGCTGTTAGTCCACAGCGGCAGAAGCTGTACAACAAGCTGTAGTTCGCGCCAAAGGAGGTGCCAGTGCCACATGTGCCAGAGGCTGCTATGAAGACTGCCCCTGCCGGAGCCTCAGTGTCGATGGCCATCAGAAGAATCGCCCATCGCAGAATGCAGTAACAAGCCAACGACAGCAAGACAGAGCGCCAACAACAACGTTGGTAGCCTAGCTTTGCACATTGTGAATTCCGATACTGGAGCATGCTAGAAGGGAGCACATAGCAAGTCGTGGGGCAACCACCTGCGCATTTGCAAAATTGTCCTCCGTGAGAACTTGGTTGTCCAACATATGCAGGCTGACTCAGAAGCTCACTGCAGTCTTTGTTTTTGGCCGACGGTGCCAGCATGCCGATGCCACTATCGTGCTTTCTGCAGCCTGCAGAAGCTGTAGGCGAAGTTCCCGGTCGCGCCAAAGCCAGTGCCGATGGTACTGTGACAAGGTAACCCAGTCGCCAGCAATGATGTTTTTGGCTGCAGCCTGTCGGTTTTGCCTGTCGAGGTTCGAAATTCGGCCTGCTCAACCCGATGACAGATGACAGCTGTTCAGCATACTGGAGCTGATCGTGAGCAATAAAAGGGAAACGCGCAGCTGAGAGCGTCATCAGCAGTATCATGGCCATTGTCGCTGTGACGATAGGGATGGTGATGAAGATGATGACGAGAGAGCTGCAGATTATGATTGCGGCTATGATGGGGCTGATCTTGAGGATGGTGATGGCCGCCACAAGTAAGTATTGAGCTGGAATATCATGAGAACCCTGAAAACACCGATTCCTGTTGATTGCTGGGGCCCTGGCAGGCGAGGGCTCGCCGCGTAACGACGGAACGAACTCCAGTGGACGAGACCGAGACCCGTCGGGTGCAAAGCTCGGGTTGACACCACAGCGGGCATGAGTGGTCGCCGGTCTTACTTCATAGGTCGAAGTGGCTCTCGCGGAGGAGCAGGTTGTGCTGAGGAGAAGCGGGACAGGGCCAATCTGTGTTTCCAGTCAGTTTCCATTCAAGAGGAACCACCCTAAGACACGTTTCCTTCAGCCCTGCAGGAATGCAAGAATCTGCCACTAACCCCAAGATGGGGACTGCCTGTACCATTGCCTCTGCTATGGTGCGCCGTGGCATGGTTATCCTTGCCCGGGCCTTGGCTGAGACAGCCTGTTGGTTCGACGTGGGCCAGGCTTGAGCGACACTGATGTTCGCAGTTTACGCTCGGAGCCTAGAATAGTTCCATCAGAGTGACGTAGGGCGAAGCATGGGTGCTGCTTCAGCTTGCGAGGTCGCGAACATGCACAATCCGTGCGATATCGCCCGGACTTGAAGATCAATGAACATTTTCGTCTAGAGCTCAGCAATGGCTTTTCTGGCACCAGTGTCCGAAGACTGTTCCCTGTCCGAAGACTGTTCCCAGATTGAGCTCTCCCTGCTGACGCCATCTGACACCGTCTGTATTGTTGCGAGCATACGTGCCGCTCCTTTGTGTACGGCATCCTCAGGATCGCCTGCCCATGAGGAAAGGAGGCGTGATAGGGTCAGTGTTCCGGGGTTGGCCGTTGACAGACGGTGCTGCTTGCTCTATCCTGCCCTGCTTGATCATCATGTCTGGTGAAGCAACGCAAACCTTCGCTCCCACCTCTTTTTTTCGAGATTCGTATGGGGCGCCATGGAAAGTCTGTCTATAGTGCCACCTCCGTATGCGTGAAGCTTACACACAGCGAGCCAGCTACGAGAAGTGTTTTTTTTCGAAATTGCAGGTGAAACCGCTGCTGGACGGCGAAGTCGAAGACAGCCTTCCCTCTTTCGTTCCATACGAGGGAGATGGGGTGGAGCTTGACAATGTCGCCACCTATAAACAGCTGGGCCCTCAGGGATGCAGGGCTGCAGGGTGGGGGTTGGGGTGTGGGAAGGGGTGCGCGCAAGTGCAGCAGGATTCCAATCATCCCACGACCGTTTCTCGATCTCGAGTCTCCCACGACTGCGCAAGTGTAGTACTGTCCAGGCCTGTGGTGATGGCCACCACAAGATACAACAAGTAAGAATTGAGCTGGGCTGTCATGTGTGTGTGTGTGTGCGCGCGTTGGCCGGGGCTCTTCATGACGTGAGTCTCGAATCGCATCGGCAAGCAGGACAGGCCCCGGATGGAACAAAAAAGACGCCGTCAGGACGAGCGTGTGTTGTGCAGCGACATCGCCGAGCAGACTTGCATAATCACTGAACTGGTAGGTTCGCGACTGGTGTTCGCAGGAGCAAGAGGCGCTCGAGAGGGCCCGCGCGGAAGAGGAGGAAGGGCGGTATCTGCCTGAGTCCTGGAATCCATGCCGCAGACATGGTCAGCTGTTTTTGTCCCGAGTTTCGGGTTATGAGTCAAGGTATTTCGCGATCGGTTGCTGTGGTTCCTTGACGAAGGTATAATATATTTCTGATGATCACTCAGGTGCAGTGCACAGCCAGCTAGGAGCTCAGCCCACGGTCTCGGGGGGTGTTGACCAACGAGCCGTGCTGAGACTGAGCAAGCAACAGATCTAAAGCGCAAAAATGCTGGACTACCCGGCCCGAACGCGCGATTTCTGACATGTAGCTCGCTTTGCCGTTGTGTGCTGACGACGCGTGAGGCGTTGCAGTCAAGGGTGGAAGTTCGGAAGACCTGCAGAAGCAGGCCATTCCGTTCTGGCGTTCATTCCTTTGTGTGGCACCACATTACAACAGGGTTTTGGGGTTCATTATACTACACGAGTGGAATAATCAGACCTCAAGGCCTAAGGAGTACCATTTGTATTTCGTGTTCGTTCCCTGAGTCCGAAAAAGAAACGTCCGCGCGGTACCAGAATTAGTTGCTTTGCCAGGTGAAAGAGAAGCAGCAAGAGCTCATGAGCGAGTCGCAACGGGAAACACTACGACCTAGTTGGCTCGACGTGGGCCGACCTAAACCGTGCCCTCCCCCAATTGCAGGACAGAGATGAGGAAAAACCCGGGTAGTAGTGGGCGACTGCGTGCGTGGAATGGTTACAGACGCAGCACAAGGATATCGCAGCTCATGCTCGCTCGTCTGGGAACATGGGCGTCGTTCAGGATGAGAACCTACCCCGCAGGATTGTGGTCCACGTATGCAAAAAAAGACAGGAGCCAATAGAAGACGGCTATCACTGCCAGATGCTCAGGGTGCAGGGGCTGCAGGGTCGGGGTTGGGGGTGTAGGAACGGGTGCGCTCCAGTGCGGCGGGATTCCAATAATCCCACGGCCGTTTTTCGGTCTCGAGCCTCCCACGACTGCGCAAGTGTAGTGCATCGAGAAGTACTGTCCAGGCCTGCAGGCCCGGCCAGGATCATAGCAGTTGGAAAATTTGGCTGATGATGATGATGGCCACCACAAGTAAGTATTGAGCTGGATAAACACTGACCGCTTCATATCATGAGAACATTGAGAACACCATTCCTATATTGATGGGATCATTTTTCGTTACTGAAGGACCCCGTCAGGCGAGGGCTCGCCGCGTGATTGCGATGTTGCCGTGGCTTCGTTCTTCGTCGGTGTTGTTGCGACTGAGCTATGTTCTTCGGCGATAGATGTTGCCATGACGTCGCATTCTGGCAGGATGCCGTGGCGGTGCCTTCTGCTGGACTTTGGTACGTCGCATGCCGTGCGGTATGGTTGGAAAAAGACTGGCTTCCCGGAAACCGGTCATGAGCTCAGGCATGCTGCGAAGGACTGAATACGACATGCGACGATGTGCGACGACAGTTCCGCGTAAGCCTATGCATGTAGCATTTGCGGATCGCTATATTCTTTGGATTGCGCATACTGAAGTACAGCGTTTCCAAGGTTCTTCAAAGTGTAAATCCGTTGCAAGTCAAGCCGGTACACATCAGTAAAGAATTCCGGTCGAAGACTTTAAGCTCTAAGTGCCTCTTGCATCGTTTTAAAGGTGCCTGTTGTATCGTTTTGTCGTGCTTCAAGCTGCCGCCATGCCGAATGAAAGCCGCAGCCAATTCGAAGGCAAATGCTTGGTTTTCGGTTTTGCCGTGCGGAACCGTATTTGCAGAAGGAGTTAGATATTGTTACGATTACTATTGCAGGACGCGCCTTTCGATTGACCCGTGCGCATCCGGGATGAGTGACCATCCCTTTCATTCCATGTGCACAGGTGAAACTTCGGATTTTCCTCTGTTAAAGCCCTGCAGATGATTAGCCTAGCCAGGCGAGAGCTCAAAGACTTCCACACTCGAGCCGGCGCCCTGGTCGACCCAAACCCTGAACCTAAGCCGTCAACACAGTCAGCAGCTTTGTCCTTTTGGCGGATTTTCGCCGGCCGAAGCTGTAATACACTTCGCATGGTGGGGTCTGAGCATCGCGACCATTGAGAAGAGAGACTCTCATAAACCTTCCCATGGTGTTTTGACCACAACACGTATGGAAAACTCTTGGATCAAGCGGCCTATTCCCCGCAGGCGTGTAGCCCGGAGATGGATTGACGGCACGTGTTGCATGAGGTCTCGTATGCTTGGGGAAACCGCGGCATTGCTGCAATGTGAAGAGGGCTGTCGCAGTTGCTGCGCGGCAGAGGGATCCCAGGAGTCTGAGCGTGACAACACCGGAGGAGACCCGACGAGCCTTTGCACATGGACATGGGCATCGAGTCTCGGAGAATGGGCATCCAGAAGAGCCTCCGAATTTCAAACGTGGACGTCTGAGCTGTTTAGTTGGGCGTCCAAGGAGGTGCAGCCCTACCTCGAGTTGGTGTGGAAGTGTTGCATCTTCTACCTGGACTTGGCTTTAGACGTGCAAGCGATTGTCTTCTTCATGAGCTCTCATGAATTTCAGTTTGGACTTGTGAATCTGCTTGGTATCTTGCTCTCCAATGTGTACACCTTTATTGACATGCGGCTGGTTGTGGATACTGCAGGAGCAGAGGCGTCGGAAGCTCTCACAGCGGGGTACCTCGTGCCTTTCAATTTGCACTACCTGTATCTCACTGGAGTGACCTGGGCGTCCTGGCGTAGAGAGGCGGGCTGATCTACATGCATAACCAGAGAGCAAGGAAAGCTTTTGAAGCCATCCGTATGGTCCATACATGCACCCACCCATTCTCCAGCCCCCTCCATCCATTCATCCATCCACCTGTCCCCCGACTGGCCGATAGACCCTTTCAAACTCCCTCCATAAACCCTGTAAGAACCCTTCTACACTTCTCTGGGACCCTTCAACAAACTCAATAATAAGCATTTCGTTCTTTATAGTTGTGCGCAGTACCCCTTTACCACATTCCCATGATCTTATATACCGCTGTAGAAAACCCTTCTGCGCACCCTTCTACAAACCCGTCTACAGACGCTCTTGTCACAAACGTCTCTGAGTCTAAAAGATTTTGCGAACTCATAATCCTGTTCTTCGCAGACACCCTTCCATGAACCCTTGACAAAAACCACTCTTGCAAGCCTTCCATATAAAGTATAGCCTGCTGTAATCTCTTCTGCATGTCGTCGTACAGGCTTTACTGACGAGAGTACCTTCAGCACCGTTCCCAGTGCTTGGCATACACCCCTCCACAAACCATCGGCGAAAAAGCTTCCGCCCAACACGGATTCAGAGCCATGACCACAAACCGTCCGCAGAGAGTGTTGTCAATTCGAAATCGTTACGGCACCACTCACACTGCGCCATTTTGCGTGACCGAACTCGTGGATCAGGAGAGGGTTGCCACATCCGAGGACGAATCGTCACGGCACCACATGCGCAGCGCCGTGTTACAATGCACAGTGACTCCTGCTGGCCCTGCCTCGTGCGTGGTAAGATATTGAGCTACAGAAAGGTTTAGGTGGGTTCATCGATGAAGCACGACGAGGCAACCTCACGACGACCTAAGGGCCAGACCACCTTACATTATGCATCATTCTGCTCTGACACGTCACGACAACCTAACAGACAACTTCATATCAGCATCTATGGTATCATGCCACCTGAACCAACTTCACAGAATAACCGTTGCCCTTCGCCACGCTTTGGCGCAAATCTGGGAATCATACTGAATGGTCAGTGTTTCTTTTCAGTCTTATCATCAACTAACTTCAAACACTAGGATTCTTATTCTGGGATCCCAAAGGACCGCTCATTTCGGAACCCCGCCCAATTTGCTTGACAAGCAGGCACCTCTGGTGAAAGGGAAGCATCCGCTTCTTCATTGCAGCAGGTTGGCGGAAGCCTTGATGGAAGCGTCCATCTCTTCTCTGGTGCAGTCGTATGCTCTTGCCCACCATGAGATCTCGCAAAAGACGGCCTACTTCAACTTCACGCAAGAGCAGATCGTCTACTTCTCCTTGGCATTCTCCTTTGGCAACATGGGTTTTGCTTTGATGGGCTTCGACTCTGCAGAGGGGCTGCATCACCTGCCAGGCACAAGCAGAAGCTATGCCGTGAAACTTCTGGTGCTCGTGATGCGGGTGGCAGAGGTTAGCTCCAGGATCACCAGCATCGCTTTGTTCAGCGTTTGCACGCGCGGCTGGATTCCCCTTCAGTTTGCGGACAGCTGGCCGCAGCCTCTACAGTTTCTGTGCAAGAGCTTCCTTCTGACCGCAGGCCCTTGTTTGGCCCCAAGGCTTCACAGCATGTGTTGTTGTTTGTCCCAGTATTTCCAAACTCCCCAGAGTTCATCATCGGAGAAAAGCCCCTTTCGATCTCAACTCGATGCTTCAGGTTCTGATGGACTTCCTGGTGCTTATCGTCTGGATTTGGGCGAGCGGTGGTGACGTCGCGAAAGCCTTTCTCAGTGTGCTGTGCTGCATGAACCCCCTGTTGGAGAAGGGCAATCCCTTCACAGTGCAGGTGGATTTGTACTATGCAATGCGGCTTGTGGAATTTCTTCTTGCAGCTGTCGGTGTGTACCTCTTGCCGTTCCGAAAGCAAAGTTTTCTAAGGTATGTTGAAGTACAAACGGCCAGCAAGAGTTTCTCGGGGGCCGTGTGCAAAGCCTGCAGCTGCGAAGGTATTGTTGGGTGGCCGACACGGAACATGTGGTTAAAGCTCTTGAGGGAAACCTTCTGCTACTGCGTGTTTGCTTGGCTTCCACGCTCCTTTCATTCCTTCTACTTCCCATTGTGCGCTACTTGGCAGAGCCGGCCCTCTTGCAAGAGGAGATCTTGACCGAGTGGAGTGCGAAGCCCTTTTTGGAGCCTCAGAAGCGTCTCCTGAAAGCCTTGATCTGCTCCAACCCTGACGACCTCCGACAGAAGGTGAAGGCAGTCATCAGCAAGTCGAGCAAATTGGCGGGTACAGATGAAGCTAGCTTGGGGTCTTTCTTCCAAACCTGCGTGAATCTCAAGGGGAGCCTCTCAGATCTAAAAGGCCGCCGATTTCTGTTAGGGCAGTTGGAGCAAGTCTTGCAGGAAAGGAAAAAGATGCTTGCGGAGCCAAAGCATTTGCAGTGTGTGCTTGAAATCTTGGCGACACCGACACCCAAAGAAGAGGGGAAACCCCACGATAACACCACGGCGCAGATTGGCGAAGACTCTCAACTCAATCTAGAGTTCGCAGCCGCGGAGGAGTTGCTCTTGGCGACACCGACACCCAAAGAAGAGGGGAACCCCCAGGATAACACCACGGCGCAGATTGGCGCAGACTCTCAAATCAATCCAAAGTTCGCAGCCAAGGAGGAGTTGCAGTTGCAGCAGCTTCGGCTTGAGATCCTCCTGAAACTAGGCCATGCCTACTGGAAAGGTCGGGGCGGCAAGAATCCAGAAGACTTCAAGAAACTGCTTAAAGCAATCGACACCACCGAGCTTCTCACCAAGTCGCAGGATGCCGAGTTTGACAAGAACGTGAAGAAGTTGATTGAGATGTGGAACAGCAAGTTCGATGCTGAGGACTTCGAGCAGTATTGCAAGGCAGATATCAGTGGAAGACACTGGGAAGCCATGACTGCTTGGTTCACAGACAAGGCGAAGGAGAGAGATTTCGGGAGCGAGAAGGGCTTTCTGAAGAAGGAGGCTGATTTTCTGAAGCTGGCTGGCATAGTCAGCAAGGCCGCTCAGGTCGAGAAGCCATTAGAAGTGAAGTTTCCCGACCTCCAGCTTGCCAAGGACGCGGTTCTGACTCAGATTCAAAGCACGCAGTGTGGCAGCGACGGTGGCTGGCAGGAGCTTGATGGCGTAGTTACCGAGGTCAAGAAGTTTGCTTGGATTTCGGGCAAGGAGCTCACCATTCAAAAGGCCGAGCAAGACATCGAGAGCAGCAAGCAGAACGAAGAGGTGAAGAGGAAAGTCTCAGAGAAAAAGAGGGCAAACATGCAGGAGCAGCATGTCAAGCTTCAAGCAGACAACGAACAGTTGCAGAAAGAGAAGCAAAAGCTGCAAGAAGAGTACGACAACATGAGGAAGCAGAACTCACTATTGAAGAAAGGCAACATGCAGGAGAATCACATCGGGCCGACGGGGGACCAGAAGAGTTCCCAACCCAAAGCTACGAAGGACATCAGACCTGTGCCTATCAAGGGCATAACTGAAGGCCGTTAAAAGTTGTGAAGGATAAATATCCGAAGGTACCCGACCCTTTGTGTCAGGTTCCTACTCGTACTTTTGAAACGTTCGCTCACGCGACATGTCAGGTTTTCGTCGTAGAGTGCTGACCCAAAGTCGGTCGGTGTTCTACATCGGCGGCTGAGTCTACAGCTCTTTTGCATTTCGCTCCTTGCTCTGGGCATGGCATAAGGACTGCCGGTTCCGACTCCTTGTTGCAACTTGAACTCAGCGTTTCCTGAGCCTGGCTGCACAGCACCCTGTGGCCTAAGGTCTCCCGAGAAGGGCTGCCTGCAGCGACAGGCTCAACTCTTAGCTCTTGCGGCTCTTGGTCATGATTATTATTAATACTTGTTATTATTGTTGTTATCATTATTGTTATTGTTAATCTTATTATTAGTACGAGTATTCTTGCTATTAGTGTCATTCTTGCTACTATGGGCACAGCGCTGCTAGTTGGGGCAGCAGACCTCGGACTTATCGGGCCAGTCACCAAGTAACCTTGATCGAAGAACCAAGCCCCGGGACCATCAGATCTAAGCGAAATGGCCTGCTTCTGCCCTGTTGTCGCCAAGAGGCCTCAAGCGACCCCGTGGCAACCCCAACCTGAAGCCCAATGCCCTACTCAAAATCCGAACCTTCAAACCAACCCAAGCCGCCAGCCCTAAACCTTCAACCCACATTCTGAACCAGGCGTGAGCTTCGCCAGTGTAGCAACTCGCTGGGTCCCAGCGCTGATCGAGAAAAATCTTCTTCAACAGGTGGTGCAGGTCCGGCATCCCTTTTTCAAAAGTCTTGATGGTTCGTTCCTGCCCAGTTGCAGGTATGAGTTCGCGCCAGCCTTCCTTAATGGCTTGACAGACCTCCTTACCGATGTGATACATTGATCCACTCTGCTAGTTCAATTTTTTGCCACTGTTCCTGCATGCTTTCAGGTTTGAGGTTCGTTGTGTGCTTTACCTTGGCTGCCATACAACCACTCAGCTCCAATGCGCTGTGCGAGGTCCAGTATCTAAGTTCTTCGTCAGCAGCTCCGGCATACTAGTCAGTCACGCATGCATCGCCACCACAAGCATCAACATCAGCATCAGCACCAGCATGGTCATCATCCTTGTGCTTGAACTTTTCCTTGTCCCCGCCCAGGCACTCTGGAGTATGCAGGGGCAGGCATGGCTGTGTAGCCCTGTAAAAAGCATTTAGGCGCAGCTGTCTGGCTATCAAGCTTTTGCTAAAAAGCGACAGGCCACAGCAGTCGTTGTCACTGTCGCACCGTGGGACAGCTGTCGGTTCTGTCAATGAGTAATGACGGCATGCAGCACAAAATCATGCTCCGACAGTTCTAACTCTTCACTTTCAAAGTCAGTGCATGCTGTCAAAACCAGCAGCGTAGGGGCCTGACAAAGCTTCCTGCCGGCGGCCATGAAGCCATTGAGGCAGCTTGTCTTTGGCACCTAAATGTGGATTCCAAGTCGCATGTATGGTGTTGGGAAGATGCTTTAAAGGCATGACGCGCAACCCAAGTTAGAGTCACACTGCAGGAATGCATCGGTAAACTTGGCTTCCTTTCATGCTGTCCGACCAGTCTGAGCTGCAGCGGGGCTGCCAAAAAAAAGTTGTCGAACTGTGTTCCTGGAGCACAGCGGCCTAGCTTTCAAGCACGCCCCGCCTGTCAGGCAATTTCGTCCGTTTCAGTTGCTGGCCAAAGAGACACTGAGCGAAGGTGGCGAAGATGGCTTCCCCGCCCCTTAGTTGATTTTCGCGGTGGATTCGCATGATCCGGAGGCGAGACTCATCGAATTATCGAAAGGCTAAGTGGGGCTCGTTGAGATGTGTGGCATTCTACGACAGTGCAGCTCGGGTGGAAACCACTACATTTTGAAGCGAAAGTCGGTTCCGTTTGGCTTCAGGTGCCCCACCAGAAACACGCCAGCCTCAAAGAGAATCCAGAAGAGCCCCAAACCCTAAATGCTTTGGGTGTCATCGTTCTCAGTCGTTCACTAGATCGAAACTCGACATGTGGAGCCTTACCTGCCCTGCACGTGCGTGAAAGACGAAACACAAAACAAAGCTCCTGCTGAGTTCACTTCGGTCGCTTTGTCTGCAGACCTTGCCCAGTATGTCTGAGTGTAGGCGTAAAAGCAACCTAGATCTAACCCTGTGGCATCGTCGTTTCGCATGGACCAACCTAACTGAATATTTTAGTGTAGTGTAGTGGTTATCGTCGCAGCATACCTCCCTGCTACATGGGCCTCGTCCTGTCCTAGCCGCAAAGCCATGTGGACAAACAACTGGACGCGGGCTCCACCCCATGCAGCAGCCCACACAGAGCCCTTCTAGCAACCATCAGAGTAACTTGCAGAACCCTCATGGCAGCCGTTAGTAATCCCCTAAACTCTAAACCCTAAAATTTCTGAGAGCTACCAGGCACAATGCCTTCCGCCAAGGCAGATTCCTAATGCGGGTACTCTCAAACAAAAGCACAACTAAACGAAGAGCATGAAATCAATTATAGTATCATATAGTATAATCTAGTTGCCAAGTGGGAGCCAAAATAATACAGTATACCATAGTATCGTATAGTATCATATAGTATAATACCAAATAATATAATGTAAGATAATATAGTAGAATATGATAGAGTGAGGTGCGCCGCTTCACTTTCGAGCTGCCTTCGGACTGCTCCTTGCAGACTTTGGGCTTCGACCTGGGCCTCGGTGACTTTGTGCAGGCGCTGCAGGGCCGTAGGGTTTAGGGCCGTTTAGGGTTTTGGGGTGTAGGGCAGTGTAGGGTTACGAGTTGAGGTTGGGTTTTTGGGGAGGCTTCGGGAAGTTCTAGGACCTTTTCTGATGGAAACGGTTCCTTGTAGCCTCCCTTAAGCCTAAGCCCTTGGTCGAGTTTGCAGGATGGCTCCTAGAAGATATGCCGATCAATGATTAACAGTTTAGTCTGGGCTCAGGTTTGTCCCTTTGGCTTTGCTTGCTGCAAGTATGCTTGTTTCTCTTGTCTCCCGTGGTGTCGACCTGAGCCTCACCTGTAGTGCGTCGCGAACCGAAAGACCTCGTCTGGCTTAGTTCCAAGCTGCGATAACGTAAACCCTTTCCCGCGGGTACTAGGTGGGTATAGTTGAGAGCAGGTCCTGGTGTAGCAACTGGTGCGATTGCAGAGGATCTGAATGGTTGTCCTAGCTCTTGTCGCCTCTACAGGATCCAGATTGGGGTTTGTCTCCGGTGCTGTGCATGCCTGGGGAGACCCTACGGCCCGGCCGACAGGCCTTTCCCGACTTTTCCCGGCCGTTCGAACGCGGAGAAGCGGTGCACTCAGCAAAAACAAACCTAAAAACCTAAACCCGATGATCCTGGGCCGAAATATGAAATATGTCGGAGCCCTTCTGCGAATGCTTATCTTCTCCCTAAGCCGGGAGTTCCACTCGCAGGTGGACCCGAACCCTCTAGTAAGAATAATACGAATAATAGCAATGATAATCAACAATTCAGTACTACTAAACTATTGTATGTCATTTTCTTAGCTCTGACGGTTCTACAACGAGAGATCCGATTCCTCATTGTGGTGATATGTGGTAATGGCAGGTGCGGCCGCCGGCCGGGAGAGTGCGGTCCTACTCGCCTGCCTCGCCGGTGCAGCGCACCGGGAGCTTCGAATCTGGGAGGCAGAGTTTCTGTTTCAGCGCTTGACAATAACGTAACTATAAGATAACTATAGTATAACTACAATTACTATCTGTTTGGGCCGGCAGCGAAAGCATGTGCGTTCGGGTAGCTTCAGTCATCGACGTTGCTGACGTCAACCAAGGACCTGGTGGTGAAGATCTACCCTGGGGGCCGGTGCTCCGGGCACCTGGATGCTAGGACGTGCTTCAAGAGCGCTTTGAGGTTTGCCTAGGTTTATGCGGCTTTTTTTACAAGAGCACGCGGTAAGAATTCACGTTGTTTCGGCATAGAGAGACTCAGAGAGCCAGTGAAAGGACAGCTTGTCGGTGGGAGACCAGGCCATGATCTCCGGCCCCGCTCCTGTGCCCTGGCTTGCCTACACCTTGAGGCAACAGCAGCATGTGGGACTGATTGCCTTTGGTGTGGGCATCACGGAAGCTTTACCCGTGGCTTTGTCGCAGCTGGCGAAACCCTTCGACAGTGTGGAACAAGTGGTTTTGCTCTGGGGCAACAGATCCTGGAAGGACACTTTCTGGCAGGAAGAGCTGCAAGAGATGGTGCAGCAATATGCAGGCAGGTTCAAGCTGGTCTACGCTCTTTCGAGAGAGGACCGCGAAGGTTGTGTGCGATCCCGCATCGACCAGTCCCTCCTGCAGTCTACCTTTGAGACATTCCCTCGGAGTGCTGGCTTCCTTGTGGTGGGAACAAAGCAGATGAAGAAAGAGACCCGCCGTGCGCTCTCAGCGTGCGGCTTCTTCTCGCCGCCCCTGCTGCAGATGAAGCTGCGGATGCCATGGAACTGGCGGCGTCGGTAAAATGGGTGGGACAGAGTTTTCGCCCACAAACTTGATGAGCCATGAGCAGCAAGTCTTGTAGAATTCTCGCTGCATGGCTACAAGATGCAGCGGCAGTCCTCGAGGCCTAAGCGTGTTCAGGCAGCCCACACGCCCCCTGCTTACGACACTTTGGTGATGCAAAGCCTTGCAGCCTAAGCTCGGGGTCCACATGGAGCGACCATCCCAGAACGATGAACAGAAATCTCCCGACCTTGAGCCTCACATGCGCATCTCCTAGTCAATCCCGCAACTAGAGCATGGTCTGTTCGAGACTTCGTCTCGCGCTTCCCAGCCTCAGTGCAGCTCGGGGATGTGGGGCAATGCGACGGCATGGGGCAGTTTCGATACTGTATACCGTGGAAGCTATCCAAGATTTCTAGTCGTCATGTGCGCAACCATGCAGCTAGTCTGACTACAGCAATATCAGATCTTGCACTATTGGTGATTTAGGGGTTGACTTGCTTGATTATGGCCGCGATTGCCCGCGAGGGCT